TAAATGAAGGGATTGAAAAGAAAAAAGAAAAAGAAGTAGTAGTAGAAATAAATAAATTATTGACAAATACATCAAAAAATGGAAGTGTCATCAAATTAGTGGATATTTTAGAAAATGATTTGAGTCAAAATGAGTAGATAAAACTACTACAGTGAAAGCATGGAAATCCATCAATATTAAAAAGAATGCATTTCTCCAATTAACTAAAATGCATGATGGAGCAATATTTTGTGGGTATAGAAAATCAAAAATAATGAAAAATGAAAGATTGAAATACTCAACACTTTGTAAAGACAAGATAGCTACAGTAGAACACATCTTACTATCTTGTATTAGTCATAAAAAATCACAAATGGAAAAACATGACAATAATGGTATTATAATATTGATTAATAAGAAAATACACAAGAAATAAACAATATAAAAAACCTCCATATGAAACAATGTTCCAATATAAAGACATCACAATGATATGGAACAAACAAATAATGCATAAAAGTGAATGACAATACCACAAAATACCAGATATACGTATTAGATAAAAAGAATCAAAACTGGTCTATTATTTGATATGACTATTGTTGAATATCACAATATTAATTGAGTCTATTTGAAGAAAAGAAATATGTATAAGAAATTAAAGAATATTCTAATGAAAATAGAAAAGTTAAAAGATGTCAAAATAATTCCAGTAGTAATTTCAATAAATGGATTAATAAATAAAGAAAGTAATAAATTAATTAAAGAATTAAAAATTGAAATTGACATCGAGAAAGAAGTTAAAAACCATGTAATAAAAAACATGATGGATGTCATGGAATACTGTTTCAATCACAACCAAATATACTCCGTAGAGCTGCTAGAAGAAGACGAAGGGACGGGATTAGTCTCCGCTGAGGCAGGAAGAATAGAAGCTGGTTCTATTAATATTTAATGAATTGCTTTTTATTTTAATAAATAAAACATTATTTTTATTTGTCAATAATATTTAATTTTAATTGAAAAATGTAATTATAATAATAAAATATAATTCGACACATCCATTGAAAAAAAAAACGAAATACATATTGATAAATTCAAATGTGTATGACAAAATAAGAAGAGTTGTATATATGTCATTTTATTGTTTTTATAATAATATGATTATTTTCAGAATTCACAAGATACAAAGCGAAGAAAATATGATAGAAATAAAATGATTTTATTTTTCATTTGAATTTAAATGTATGTTGTGAATGAAAAAATAAACAAATAAGAAAATAAAATGAATTGATAATTTCAAATAGAAAGTGAATTAAATATGAACAAAAGTCTGAAAATCATTATTTTATTTAAAATTATTTGAAAGAAAAAGAATAATTTTGTGTTAGTAACAATTATAAACATTATTGAATATCATTATTTGTAGTTATGTAATTTTCATTTCATATCTTACACAACAAATAAAACCCGTCACTTGTACAATTTATGATATTCACTTATTTGTAATATAACAATCATCAAATATGTGTCTATAATGGTATTTGAAAATTTAATAAATGATAAAACGTGAAATAAACAACGAATAAAACAAACAAACTTAACTATAGTTGATTGTACATGTGATTGAAAGTTCATTAGTTATTTTAACATTAAAAAGAATATTTAAAAATACGTAGTAAGCCAAATTCAATAATAAAGAAGTTAATTGATTCACATATATTATTATTCATTTTCTTGTTGAATATAATTGAAATGATAATAAAATATTAATTATTGTGTTAATTGTACAAATATACAATATTAAAATGAGTAATACAAACAAACACTTTTAATGTAGAAATAGTGTCAGATAATGTTTAACAAGTTATTAAAGTTATATGTGTTATACTTCAATTAAAATACATTTGAAATCTTGGTATATCATATGAATAAATAGTGTAACAATAACATAATGAAGTGTTAGAAAAAAGAAGAAAGTTGTGAAAGATAAAATCAAAAAGAGTATAATAAATATATTAAACAAATGAAAACATAGAGATTCAATGTATTTTATATATTCACAATAAGATGAGAGATAACGGAAGACAAAAAAAAAAAAAAAAAATAAAAGAGAAAAACTAAGAAAAAGTGAATATGATAAGAATCAAATGATAAATTTAATGAAACATTAATGAGTATTTTAGAATTAATATTTATTTCATATCTATTCTTTTTGTATCTCTACTGTTTTGAGAAATATATTTCTTTTTATAATCAATATTCTCTATTTTATTATTGTTAATTTCTTATTAATGAATGAACCATTTGTACTTATTACATATTCTCTATTTTCTTTCATTTAAATATCATTTATTAATTTTATAATTATTTTCTTTAATTTGTTTATTTTCATTCTTTTTATTTCTGATATGATTTTATTCTTATTTTGTTGTGGTTTATTGTGTTATTTTTGTTGAAATTATTGATGATATAATAGTTATTAATGGGGTATAGTTTAATGTGATTATTAATGTATTTCTGAATATACAGATAATACAAATACACACTTTCTTTTACCATTTGTCTTTTGTTGTTATGTTTAATGTTTTTGTATTATTTCCTGTTTTTTTATTTTTAACGAAAGATAAGAATTGAAAGAATGAAATTGAAAAAAATTGAAATAAAAATGAAAATATTTTTATACACCACAATCATTACCCTCATTCGATGTTATTATATTTTCAGAACAATGTTGTTTGAAACGGTGAAACAATAAAAGAAGAATAACGATAAAATTAAAAGAAAAAGTGTGAGAGAAGTTGGAATGAAATAGGAAATGATTCGATTGATTTTATCTATTTTTAATTTAAAGAAATTCATGAAAACAAAAATGGATAAAAAGGAATGAATTGGAAATAATTAACATTATAATTTTACATTGACGAAAAGTTTATTGTAATTTTATTTCATAAACATGTAATTAACGATAAAAATATACCGAAATAAATAAAAATAAAATGAAATAAAATGTTAAAAACGGTGTTTAGTATCAAAACAAATGATGTTTATGAGAAACAACCAATCAGAAAAGAAGTAACACATTTAAACAAATAACCTATTTTACCGAATGGTATGTATTTAAACAAGAAAACAAACTTGTTAATCATTAAATGTCAAGAGTAATAGTAAGATTTATCTTGAATGGACAATGCATTGCAAATAAACCACTAAATTCACAAGACAATCTGAAAATCGCAAGAGAGAAAATAAAAGGAAAGATGCTTGACTCACAACACTTTTTAACAAAAGATGGAGATTTAATTGATGTAAACGATGAAGAGAGTTATACTATAGGAGATGTAATTGATGAGAAAAGAATAATAAATATTAAAGGAACAGAAGTTAAAATAGGAATAAGAATAAAGATAAATGATAAAGTACTTACCACTATTGAAATAGACAATAAAACAACGATAAACATTATTAGAACATTAGTTCAAAATATACCAGAATCAGCACATTTCTACACACTTGACAATGACAAAATTGAACGAGATGAAGAAGAAGAATTTACTGTAGAAGATATAATAAATAATGAAGAAATTAATCTTAAAGAAGAAAAAGAAAATATACCAGAAATAAATGATATAACAATTGGAATATGTTTGAATGGGAAACCACTGATAAAAAAACAATTCAACAAGACTAATTCTCTTTCAGATGTTAGAAAAGAAATTGAAAATGTAAAACAAATTCCAAAAGACTTTGTGTTTGAAGATCTAGAAGGATTTAAAATACCAATTGATGATGAACAATCATTAAAATTAACATCTATTTTGTATAACAATAAGATCAATATAACAACAGAAGTTACAGGTGTGTCTGAACCAAGTACTACCACATCTCTTCTAGGTTCACCAAATAATAGTACGATACCTGGCAATTCTTTAACTAATAGTATCACTTCTGATATTTCACTGAGTAATAACACATGCATATTTGAACCAAATATTCCAATTGAAGGAAGTATAAGATTGAAAAGTCATGAAGAAGGAATGTTGAAAATATATTTATATCCAAATGAACCATTTAATCAAAAAGATGAGAGTGATGCTATTGCTATTCTAGTTGTTGGTCAAACAGGAAGTGGAAAAACTACATTATTGAATAGTTTTGTAAATGCATTATATGGAATAAAAATAACAGACGACTTTAGATATATAATTATAAATGAAGATAATTTAAAACAGAATAAGGATCAATCTATAAGTCAAACAAGTCAAGTAACAATTTATAATATTAAAAGAACAAAAAGAACACCACCAATCAAAATAATAGATACACCAGGATTTGGAGATACAAGAGGAATTACATGGGATATAGAAATTACTAAACAAATAAAAGAGGCATTTGAAACAAAAGTATTAGATTTAAATGCTATTTGTTTTGTTGCACCATCAAGTAACGTAAGACTAACAGCGAGTCAAAAATATATATTCGGGAATATTATTGATTTATTTGGGAAAGATGTGAAAAAGAATTTTATTGCGATGCTTACATTTTGTGATGGTAAAAAACCACAAGTTATAAATGCATTACAATCAAAAGAATGCATTTTCAGTACAATTATTCCAGAAATAGATAACCCGTGGTATTTAAAATTTAATAATTCAGCTATTTATGATGATAATACAGAAGATGAATTTACACAAATGTTTTGGAAATTAGGTATGAAGAACTTTGATGACTTTATAACAAAATTACTAAACCTACCAAGAATATCATTAGAGAAATCTAGAGAAGTGTTGAAGAGAAGAGAACGTATTAAAGTTCAGCTTGAAGGATTAAGAACATCATTAAACAATGGTTTATCAAAATTGGATGAAATAAAACAGATATATGAACAATTCTATTTAAATCGGGATAAAGTTAAAAATAATGAAAATTTTACTTTTACTGTAAACATAACGGTACAAAAAAAGATTGACTTAGAACGAGGAGAATATGTAACTAATTGTTTAAAATGTAATAAAACGTGTCATTATCCATGTGGGATTGCAGGAGATGTGAAAGATGGATGTGCTTGCATTGATAATGATTATTGTAATGTATGTGGTTGTCATTATACACGACATGCAAACTCGAAATATAGATTTGATTATGTAATTGAGAAAGAACAACAAACAGCACAAGAAGTACTTGAGAGATATAATGAAGGTAAAAAAGGAATGGCTAGTGCAGAAAGTATGTTAAAAAAGTTAGAAGAAGATTATTACAAAATTCAGATGGAATGTTATGATAAAGAAGTAGAAATTGTAGAATGTATTAACACATTATCTGCAATAGCATTAAATGATAAAATTACAGGGTCAAATGAATATTTAGACATAATGATTCAATCAGAAAATGATGAAAAGAAAACGGGGTATAAAGTACGAATTGAAGGATATAAACAACTTAAACAAGCAAATGATATAATAGAAGGTATTATGAAAAAATCAACAACAAAAAAGAGTAAGGATGAGATTAAGGCTGAGCTTAAAAGAAGAAAGACAGATTTAGTTAATGGACAAAAAATAACATTAGATAAAAATTGTGAAGGTTGTGTTATTTGCTAAAACCGAATAACCAAATGAAAGCTTTAATTAAATGGTTTTAAAAATATTTGTTTAAATAGGTAATAAAAAAGATAAATAATATTGATTATTATTGTCAATTGACTTCACTCAATCTATTTTAAATAATAGAATTAATCAAACAAACTGTTGGTAAATATATTGTTTTAACATCATTAATAATTTCATTTTTAATATTTACACTATTGAATTAACTTCACTCTTGAATGACATATTTTTCATTATATTTGTTTTGTAAATATTGTTTTATTATTTATTTCGACCTCTTCTTTCTCATTATTTTTTAGTATTTTTTATTTTATTCTTTTCAACGTTTGAAACTCTTTTGTATTTATTTCATTCATCAACAAAAACACATGGATTGAAATGAAACATATTAAAAATAATAATTTGAAATTGAAATTGTCTTTTAATTTGATGAATCAACAATGAAATTGATATTCAATGAATGTTTGAGACAAACCCACAATTCAAATTACTCTCTTATTATTTTGTTGATAATTTATTATGTTGTTTGTTTCAAAAATAAAATATTTCATAAAAAAGAATATCATCTGAATCATTCATCAAAAGATGAGATATTTCATTTCTTTGTGTTTTATTGTATGTTGAAATACATATTTAACGAATTACTCAATATACATTTGAGTAACCATGGTAGAAAAGAAATATAAAAATAATATGTCCACAACATGATTTGAAATAATATGTTTATAACATGAAGTATATGATATCAAGTATGTTGAATGATAATTTTAAAAAGAAGGAGTTGATGAAAAGAGAAATGAAATGAATGAAGAAAGAAATTGAAAAAAGACATATTGTACTTCATTAGTATTGATTTAACGAATCCATTTCTCAAAAAAATCTCTAAATCAATCAGACTCAATAAGTATATAATATTCATTGTGATAATATAATAATATTTCATTCTCATTCTTCTGAAATAAAA